TTTTGACAAACCATGCCGAGTCTCATTAATAGCACAAATAATTGGAATAAATTTGACCCGTGTTGAAATGCAGGATCCATTTTTTTTTTCGTATTGTGATATTTGAATTTGTATATAATTTTGTAAATGTTAAATTTTATTTGGTATAACAATTAAATAAACATTTATATAAATTTTCAAATAATTTATGATATTACATTGTAATGAAAATGGTGATACAATTAAATAAAGTAAGTAAAATATTTTAACTGTACAATATTATATAGTTTATTTATAATAATATCAGTATATTTGTAAAAATAAAATTTAAATAATAATATAATGAAATTAAAAATAGTGATGAGACTAGAAATATAGACTCGTTTACTCATTTAGTTTTGTTTTGGGAGTACAAACTGATTATTGTGTATTTTAATTTAATTGTTACATGAAATATTCCAGACCATTTTAACCAAATTTTAATTTAAAGAAAATATAACACGTGCTTTAATTTATCCAAATTAAAGATTAAGTGCAGCACACAGTTTCAGCTTTTAAAAGAAACTAAATTTTGATCCGCGCGTCCGCGCGGGTGTTCTTTTATAATTACATAAACATTTAAAACACACAAAAACTTAATGATTTTATATAACAGTTTCATATAATGGGTTCATCTGTTAGATTTTAGTTTATAATTCGTAGCATAAATTACTTTCATGTTTTTGTATTATGTTATATGTATATATATATATATATATATATATATATATATATGTGAGTTGTTATATATTATTGTATGAATTTTAAAAGTCGAAGCTACCGTTTGAACATATGGGTATCCAATATGTAAGTCAATCTGATTTTTTAATTGAAAATTTAAATTCAATTTTATATTATATTTAAACACTTATTAATTTTAATGTTATTGTATTTTGAATTTTATTTTATTTTATAATTATATAAACATTTAAAACACACAAAAACTTAATAATTTTATATAACAATTTCATATAATGGGTTAATTTGTTAGATTTTAGTTTATAATTCATAGCATAAATTACTTTCATGTTTTTGTATTGTGTTATATATATATATATATATATATATATATATATATATATATATATATATATATTTGTGAGCTGTTATATATTACTCTTATTGTATGAGTGTTAAAAGTCGAAGCTCTTGCTTGAACAGATAGGTATCCAATATGTAAGTCAATCTGACTTTTTTTAAAAAAATTTAAAATTTACATTATATTTAAACACTTATTAATTTTAATGTTATTGTATATTGAATTGTATGCCGTAACTTCAAATTGTTACAAAAATGATTTAAATTATCTATTATATATTTTTATATGAAATCTAAAAATAAAGAAAATAGATTTTAAACTTTATCATGTTTTTAAACTTGATTTTTATTTTATTTGAATACTAATATCTCTATAATATTATTTGAGAAGTCACTTTCTTAGGTGTCGCACTCACGTTAACTCTCACGCTGTTTGATTACTATGATACCCCTAATGAATTAAAAATATATTTAAATATTATTATTTCCTTTTTAAAATCTTCCAAATAAAGATTAAAATAAAAAGGAAATATTTATAAAATTTACAAAACTATTTAAAAAGAAAAAATAAGTATATATATAATATGGTTTCATAAAAAAAGAAAGTTTACAAAATAGTAATATTTAACTTAAATATATTTTTAAATAACATAAATTATACGTTTAAGTAATAAAATACTTTATATCTATATCTTCCTAGATGAAAAAAATATTTGTATATAATGTGTTTTCATTAAAAAAGTTCATACAAATAATCTTGATATTAGAAAAAAATATTTTTTCTTTAAAAAAATAATTTAAACAATAAAATATATATTTTCAAATTAATTATTTTTTGATATATCTATCTATTTTATTAGATGATTACATAAAATAATTAAGTAACATAAACTGATATATGTTTAACCGATAAATAAATTATAATTAGTATTATTAAGTCACTTTCTTAGGTGTCGCGCTCACGTTAACTCTCACGCTGGTTGATTACTATGATACCCCTAATGAATTAAAAATATATTTAAATATTATTATTTCCTTTTTAAAATCTTCCAAATAACAATTAAAATAAAAAGGAAATATTTATAAAATTTACAAAACTATTTAAAATGAAAAAATAAGTATATATATAATATGGTTTCATAAAAAAGGAAAGTTTACAAAATAGTAATATTTAACTTAAATATATTTTTAAATAACATAAATTATACTTTTAAGTAATAAAATACTTTATATCTATATCTTCCTAGATGAAAAATATTTTTATATAATGTGTTTTCATTAAAAAAATTCATACAAATAATCTTGATATTAGAAAAAAAATATTTTTTCTTTAAAAAAATAATTTAAACAATAAAATATATATTTTGAAATTAATTATTTTTTGATATATCTATCTATTTTATTAGATGATTACATAAAATAATTAAGTAATATAAACTGATATATGTTTAATTGACAAAAAATTATAATTAGTATTATTGAAATATTTTTTAGTATGTTTATTTGATTATAATATCTTACAATTACAGCAAAAAAAATATAAATTATATTTTACTTATATAATATAATTTCTCAAAAACAATCACATTTTTACTGCATATTTTAATAGATGTTAAAAACAAAACTAAAAATAAATTTAATAATAAACATCTTTTGATCAAATAACTACAATTCTTTTAATATATCATAACACTATAATTTAACAAGGTAGATATATTATAATTAATAATTAAAATTATCTATTTTCTTAATAACTCTTTTGATGTTTAATTTTCTGTTTTTATGTTTGTGGAATTTAATATAACCATAATCTAATACTTAAAGAAAATCCGAATTTTTTATTTTTAAAATTATTTAAAAAAAATTCAGTTTATCATCCAATCAATCTGTGGCATAAATTACCTAGAATTTATAAAATATTTTAATTATTGTAAATATTGATATGTGTTCATAAGCTTTCAAAAATTTATTATTACTTATGTATTTTAGAATCAGACACTTTAGTTTTTATTTTTTTCGTTCTAAGCACAAAAAATCTTAAAATACATAATCTTACTAAGATATACTTATATTTCGTAGATAACAACCAACATAAATGTAAATAAAATAATTAATCAAAAATTTAAGATATTTAGAATAAAAAAGATTATAGTTGAATTCATAGAAATAGAAAAAATCCAATATATATATATATATATATCCAAATGATAAAATTGACTAAATATAATATATATAAAATTATAATAAATAAAATAATACAATATTATTAATACAAATTATACATACAAACTATAAATTAATATAAAATTTAAAGTAAATATCATATAACTATTATAATAGATTTATTTCTTAAATATTTAAGTCCGTGCATGAGCACGGGAAAATCACCTAGTCTATAAGTATACATGCAATACATATAAACTATGCATTTGTCTATAATTATATTAGTTAATAGATCAGCGAAATTCTTCTTTATGGGCTGGCAAAAACAAATTTACAGCAGCCCAATAAAATAATAATTAGACATTAATCAAAATTACTGTGTTTTAACTTTAGTGACATAAAGTTGTAATTTTTCGTGAAAAACTAAGGGGTATATACTATTTGTACTTCCCCTTTAATAGTTTAGATATATTGGTTTTTCTTACGTAGACCAAGCTTTCGGATGAACACCGAACAACTAATTGGATGGTAATTCGAGATTTTTAAAGTTATGTAACTGTGGACTCTTTTGATGATATAAAGCAAGAGAAACAATGAGTCACGTGGAATAGTTTAGAAAACCGATTTCTTTTGCGCCGGTTTTGTACTCGTATGGTTTAGTATTGAATTGTGATGTTAATGGTTTAGTTTGGTTTTAGGATGGCTCGAATAATAAATTAGAAACGTAACCGTAGGATCTGTTTTAAAAGAAAGAGCAAAACTACTGTGTTTAATATCAATGGTATTCTATTATAATATTTGAGGAAAATTAAGGGGTATTATTTACTTGTACTTCACTTTTAATAGTTTAGATGGTTCTCGTTGATTTTTGGGTTTATTTGCCAAATAACCACAAAAATAAGAAAAATTAGATTTTAAGAGAGTGAATAGAAAGAGATAGGAAGAGAATGTAGGAGAGAGAGAGAAAAAATTTGGCTAGATTATTATTTTTGGTTTTTTTCATAGTTACTGGACCCAATTTCTCTTGATTTTTTGTACTCTTTCTTCTTTTATTGATTTTTTTATTAAATCACAAGAGACTTCATTAGAAATTTCCATTTTTTGTGATTATGTATAGAAAGTTGTACGTTAACTAATTTTACCTAAACCCTTACCCATCTAACTTTTCATTCTGTATGTGGAACCTTGCCAATCCTAACTTATATCCAATGCCCTGAACACCATTCCATACATTAAGTAATAGTAACAAATTTAATTAAGTCTCGTTACTATCCATTACTTAACTTTAAAATTATCTGTTAATTGATCATGAAAAGATTACGGATAATAGCTACTACCAATTTTCAATGTCTCTTTGGTTAAAAGTGTGTATAATTTAATTTGCCAGTAGACGGGAATTAGCTTCTATCTTGATTTGACCCTCTCAATTTTTATTTTCTTACGTATTATAATTCTCAATTTCTTATACTAATGTTTTTATTTTTTTTTGCCAATGATAAATCATTTAATTTTCAGAATCTTAATAAATGTGGAGTAGTATCCCAGTGACGAAATGCGGATTATTAAATTAGCCTTTTCGATATATTATAATCATCGGTCCAACAATAATATGCAAAATAGATATATGATTTCATAGAGCATTACGAGGTCCATACATTCCCAATACCAACTGTTATAAGAAATTCATGCACATACGGCAATAAACGCAGACATATACATAGATATGCTGCCACTTTATTTAGACGGTCCTATATATAGATGAACCTTTCGATTTATAACATTTATTTAGGAAACTTGCTCTCGATAATCTCACGGATAGAACAGGCTACGGAGAAGAACGAGTATGGTTCTTCGGTTTTTTCATCAATCTTCTCGACCTTGATGGTCCATTTCACGCGGCTATCTTTGTTCTTAGGAATAACAGTGATGGTTACTTCGGTCCTCTTGAAATTTTCCATCAAGAAAGGAAAGTTGATCGCAAATGTCCTTTTCTGCCAATCCACATCACCCATCTCCACCTCATCTTTTTGGTGAACACAAAAAAAGAAGTTAGGGTTTGAATCTGTAGAAATGAATTAAATTATATAAATCAAAGTAGAAAAGTTTACGGTCATCTTTAAATGCGTTGACGAAAACTTTGAAGCACTCTTCCGCCGGATACCCAGCGTCAATGGAGTTGTACTTAACTTTCCTAATATAGGTGACATCGCTTAGATAAATGTACGTGACTAGAGATTCAACGATCTTTGCATCATTGACGTTATCTCTAATCTTCTCGAACTCAAAGGTGTACGTCAGGCAGCTAGCTGTCGTGTCTTCCCCAACGGTGAATGTTGCTGTTACAGTTTCGTAGCTTCCCGAGATTAGGTTCCCAAGTATGTTCACGGTCATTGTTTTCGAGTCCTTCGGCTCGACTTCGAACCTCAAGTCCACTACAGTGAAACATAGCAATTAATTAAAGGTTTTGATTGATGATCAAGAAACATGAGATGAAAATTGGAAGAGTTGATTATTTTACCAGCAGCAAAAAATAGCGAAACATGTTTTTTCTTTTTGGTTAAATGTTCAATGAACTCGACTGCCGGAGATAGTAGGTGAACAAACTTCCTGGGAGATTTGTATGTTGCCATCATATCTCTCTCTTTTAATAAAATATTTTAATATGTTTTGTGCTGTAGATTATAATCCTCTCTCGATGAATATGTGTTTATATAGAGGGAGATCATTCAATGCAAATTGCTTTGTCTAATTTTTTAACCTAAGTCCACTCATGTAACCTTTTGGCACAATTTACAATTTACTGACACTCAGTTGATAGTCATTTGGCACATGGCATATAAAGTAACTATACAAACCAAAATAATCCTAACCAAGCGAAGTAATTTACGCTGTAATTGATTCTCTTTTACTACGTTTTTGTGACAAAAATTAAAATTTTTTTTTACTAACCACTTCAAAGCATAATAGCGTCATAGTAAATTGACTCATTTCTAACCATGGATCTATAATTTTATCATAACATATTAGTAATGGTTGAATTACAAAATATATAATATATATATTATTTATGGTATATATCTAATTATTAAAAGAAAAACATCAATAAAAAATAACCCCTTAAACTTATAAGTTATTTACAACTAAATGCTATTGAAGTAATTAAATGAACCTATACTGAACACGGATAAATTTTGAATATATATTATCACTTAGAAAAAAATATTTAAAAAATGAAAAGAATAAATATCCACGTATACATGGTTTAAATGTACACAAACTTAAGTCCATTCATAGTCTTATATCAATTACATCAAATTTAAATCTTCATTTTTTTATTTTCCAAATTTGGTAGAAGTTTAACAATAATTTCATTTTATTACAAATGTTATAACTAATGTATCATTTATAATTAGCATGCTAATTCATAATTGTTTATTTTCGTACTTTTCGTTTAAAAAATGTATTCGCTATATATGTTAGACATGGATCTAATTATATAAATGTTGAATTTGGTTATATGATACTCAATATCGATGATACATTTAACGCTAAAATAAAAAATAGAAAATTAAGTACAAATATAATTTATATTTAAAAATACGGCTACATTTACAAATTTAACATTAAGTATAAATAAAAATTAAAATATACCATTAAATACTTGTGCGGTCGCACGGATCAAGATCTAGTATAGCTGATAATAGCTGCTAAATAGACTAGGATATAACACTAGAAATAATTTGGAGATATTTGATTTCAATATATAAATTTATACATTTGGATTCTTATATAATATAGTTTTCATAAAATAATATAACTATTAAATATTATGAAGTAGGCACTTGTTACTACATATCTTGTGGTAACATACATTTTTCTTTTTTAAAAATTAGGGGGTTTAGTTTGTTTTGTTTGATTTGTAATCAAGATAAGTCTGTTACTTTTGACGAAAATAACATGGGTAATGGGAGTTGTTCAAAAAAGGAAAAATAACATGAGTAATGGGATGGATGTATCATACCGTTCATATGCTTTTGTGAGTCGACTGTGAAAGTGATGTTCCAGCGAAGACGAGAATCTGTGCTCACCAATTTGTCTCTTAACTAGAAATGATAATAACAACAAAACACGTAAATTTGACGGATTGTTCATATCTCAACTTCATGAGTTACGATAAATAGTTTTTTGTTTTCTTAAAAACGAAGAACATAGAAATATTGTTAATTATTTACAAAAGACTTAACAAGGTTTTTTCTTGTCCAACTTCAAATATAAATTGTATCATCTGCTTTTCTTCTTGCTCGAGCTCCGCTCTATCAATGGAGCCGTTGTATAAGCTGAGTGTATTTCATTTCTCTGCTTCGTCAGCGCATCTATCTGTAAAAAAAAAAGCACATGAACATATCTTCTATTATTTAACGTCAATGGTGTTTGGAGCTTTTACATATGGATAAAAAGACTAACCGATTGCATTCTTGAGCGTATCTACTGGTCATATCTGTGAACTGCACAAGTACTTCTCTGTACTCTGTCTCAAACTGCAGCAGCACAAAGAACTTGAATTGTGTAGTTCACACTTTTGAAATAATTATCACCTGACAAAGTAACATGTCATTCACATCAACCTAGTGCTCAATCCAGACAGATATAAGAGAAATTGTAGTATTAGTAACATTACAAACCGAGAAAACTGACCATAGATAGCAAAGACATGAGTGCCAGCCTTCAGCGTTTGCATTATTTCTAGAGACAAATATCCTAGAGACCGAGAAATTGTAGTATCATTACAAACCGATAAATTTCACAACACATACTCAGCTTTTGCATCATTTCTAGAGACAAATATCCTAGAGACATTTGAGTTCAAAGCTGAACTAATAGCATCACGATAACAAAGATATACAAATATTCTTTTTTTTTTGGGCAATACAAATATTCAATTAATTTACTGACACTCAGTAAATTTATTTGGCAGATGGGAAAATAAATTAGCTGTAATTGCTATCACCTGCTTAAAAGTACTATTAGTTAACTCAAACCAAGCGAAGGGATTTAATTTCGCTGTAATTGATTTTGTTTTACTACATTTTAACCACTTTTTTTTTTGTCTGCGCTACATTTTAGCTATGTAAACTGATATCAATATGACCAAAAAGATAGTTTTGACAAACCATGCCAAGTCTCATTAATAGCACAAATAATTGGAATAAATTTGACCCGTGTTGAAATGCAGGATCCAATTTTTTTTCGTATTGTGATATTTGAATTTGTATATAATTTTGTAAATGTTAAATTTTATTTGGTATAAAAATTAAATAAACATTTATATAATTTTAAAAATAATTTTATGATATTACATTGTAATGAAAATGGTGATACAATTAAATAAAGCATGTAAAATATTTTAACTGTAAAATATTATATAGTTTATTTATAATAATATCAGTATATTTGTAAAAATAAAATTTAAATAATAATATAATGAAATTAAAAATAGTGATGAAACTAGAAATATTGACTCGTTTACTCACTTAGTTTTGTTTTGGGAGTACAAACTGATTATTGTGTATTTTAATTTAATTGTTACATGAAATATTCCAGACCATTTTAACCAAATTTTAATTTAAAGAAAATAAAACACGTGCTTTAATTTATCCAAATTAAAGATTAAGTGCAGCACACAGTTTCAGCTTTTAAAAGAAACTAGATCTTGATCTGCGCGCCCGCGCGGGTGTTTTTTTATAATTACATAAACATTTAAAACACACAAAAACTTAATGATTTTATATAACAGTTTCATATAATGGGTTCATCTGTTAGATTTTAGTTTATAATTCATAGCATAAATTACTTTCATGTTTTTGTATTCTGTTATATATATATATATATATATATATGTGTGTGAGTTGTTATATATTATTGTATGAATTTTAAAAGTCGAAGCTACCGTTTGAACAGATGGGTATCCAATATGTAAGTCAATCTGAATTTTTAATTGAAAATTTAAATTCAATTTTATATTCTATTTAAACACTTATTAATTTTAATGTTATTGTATTTTGAATTTTATTTTATTTTATAATTATATAAACATTTAAACACACACAAAAACTTAATAATTTTATATAACAATTTCATATAATGGGTTAATTTGTTAGATTTTAGTTTATAATTCATAGCATAAATTACTTTCATGTTTTTGTATTGTGTTGTATATATATATATATATATATATTTGTGAGCTGTTATATATTACTCTTATTGTATGAGTGTTAAAAGTCGAAGCTCTTGCTTGAACATATAGGTATCCAATATGTAAGTCAATCTGACTTTTTTTTTAAATTTAAAATTTACATTATATTTAAACACTTATTAATTTTAATATTATTGTATATTGAATTGTATGCCGTAACTTCAAATTGTTACAAAAAGATTTAAATTATCTATTATATATTTTTATATGAAATCTAAAAATAAAGAAAATAGATTTTACACTTTATCATGTTTTTAAACTTGATTTTTATTTTATTTGAATACTAATATCTATAAGTATACATGTAATACGTATAAACTATGCATTTGTCTATAATTATATTAGTTAATAGATCAGCGAAATTCTTCTTTATGGGCTGACAAAAACAAACTTACAGCAGCCCAATAAAATAATAATTAGACATTAATCAAAACTATTGTGTTTTAACTTTAGTAACATAAAGTTGTAATTTTTGTGAAAAACTAAGGGGAATATACTATTTGTACTTCCCCTTTAATAGTTTAGATATATTGGTTTTTCTTACGTAGACCAAGCTTTCCGATGAACACCGAACAACTAATTTGATGGTAATTCGAGATTTTTAAAGTTATGTAACTATGGACTCTTTTGATGATACAAAGCAAGAGAAACAATGAGTCACGTGGAATAGTTTAGAAAACCGATTTCTTTTGCGCCGGTTTTGTAATCGTATGGTTTAGTATTGAATTGTGATGTTAATGGTTTAGTTTGGTTTTAGGATGGCTCGAATAATAAATTAGAAACGTAACCGTAGGATCTGTTTTAAAAGAAAGAGCAAAACTACTGTGTTTAATATTAATGGTATTCTATTGTAATATTTGAGGAAAATTAAGGGGTATTATTTACTTGTACTTCACTTTTAATAGTTTAGATGGTTCTCGTTGATTTTTGGGTTTATTAGCCAAATAACCACAAAAATAAGAAAAATTAGATTTTAAGAGAGTGAATAGAAAGAGATAGGAAGAGAATGTAGGAGAGAGAGAGAGAAAATTTGGCTAGATTATTATTTTTGGTTTTTTTTCATAGTTTCTGGACCCAATTTCCCTTGATCTTTTGTATTCTTTCTTCTTTTATTGATTTGTTTATTAAATCACAAGAGACTTCATTAGAAATTTCCATTTTTTGTGATTATGTATAGAAAGTTATACGTTAACTAATTTTACCTAAACCCTTACCCATCTAACTTTTCATTCTGTATGTGGAACCTTGCCAATCCTAACTTATATCCAATGCCCTGAACACCATTCCATACATTAAGTAATAGTAACAAATTTAATTAAGTCTCGTTACTATCCATTACTTAACTTTAAAATTATCTGTTAATTGATCATGAAAAGATTA